TTCCCGGCTGCGCGTCCCCCCGCAGCGCCGCCGGAGCCCCCCGGGATGGGCTGTCCGGGGGGATGCGAGCCGGGAGCGGCTCGGAAGGTTCTGCGCGTAGAAACGAGTCCGGGAGAGGGGAGGGAACGAAGGAAGGAAGGAATGAACGAGCCGAAGCCCCTCTGCCGTTTTGGTTCCTCCGTTAGCGGCGAGCCCAGGCACCGCCGCCCTCCCCTCCTCCGGAGTCCTCGGCAACGTCGGGAAATCAAAAATACGGGAGCTGCGCGGGGCTCCACTCGTCCCGGGGGGGCTCCCCGGCGTTCGGGGTGCGGGGCGGACCCCGGGCCGGGCTCCATCCCCTCCCGCCGCCCTCCGGCGGCCCCGGCAGCGGAGCGGGGCGGTCCCGCTGCCGCCGGCGGGGAGCGTTTGTAGGTCCTGGCGGGGCCGGGGGCGCGGCGGGGCCGCCCCGCCGAGGGGCTCATTTGGTGTCGGTGGCTAATCTGGGCAGGCTGGCGGTGCCCATGCCGGAGACGTGGTGGTGCGGCGGGGCCGACACCTGGCACATGCTGCAGGGGCACGGCATCCCCCCCCAGTGCTGGAAGCCGCTGCCCAGCGGGGCGGCGGCGGCGGCGGCGGCGGCGGCGGCCGAGGGCGACTTGAGGAGCCCGTGCGGGGGCCGGATGGAGCTGACGGCCGAGAGGCCGGAGCCGGGCAGGGAGGCGCTGGAGACGGCGGCGGGGGGCAGGATGGGGTGGTGCACGGGGTGCGAGGCCGGGTGGCCCGGGTGGCCGGGCAGCGGCGCCGAGTGCGCGCCCATGCCGCCGGGGCAGGCGGCGGGGTGGAAGCCGGCGTGGTGGCCGCCGTAGATCTCGCTGACCAGGCGCTTCATCTCCTCCAGGGAGTTGGTGAGCATGAGGATGTAGTTGCGCGCCAGGAGGAGCGTGGCGATCTTGGAGAGCTTGCGCACCGACGGGCCGTGCGCGTAGGGCATCACCTCCCGCAGCCCGTCCATGGCGATGTTCAGGTCGTGCATCCGCTTGCGCTCCCGGCTGTTGATCTTCAGCCGCAGCTGCTGCAGCTCCGGCTCCGTCATCTGCTTCTTGTCCTTCTTGGAGGAGGAAGAGGAGGACGAGGAGGACGACGACGACGAGGACTTGAAGCCCAGCTTGTCCACCACCACCACCCCCGCGGCGCTCATGGCGCTGCGCAGCTCGGCGCTCAGCTCCGGCGGGGAATCGCTCTGCGTGGAGCTGGACACGGTGCCGCCCGTGAAGCCCCCGCCGCTGCCTTTATTCCTGGCCGTGAGGAAGAGGTCATCGGGCTCCGGGGAGGACGGGCGGCTGGAAACCAGGCTGGCGTCCGAGTCCATGGCCCGGCGGGCGGGGCGGCGGCGCGCACCGGGCAGCCTGCGGGGAGGGGAGAGAGCCCGCGGGCGGCCCCGCGTCAGCGCCCGCCGCGGCTCGCCGGGGCACCGCGCCCGCCCGCCCCGTCGGCGAGCCCGCTCCGCCGGGCCGGGGAGCGGCGGTCCCGGCGGGACCGGCCCCGCTGCCCGCCCTCCCCTGGCCGGGGGCGGCTCCCGTCCCGTCCCGCCCGTCCCTCCCCTCGCTCCCGTCCGCCGGGCCGGGCTCGGGGCCCGCGCGGGGCCCGCGGGCGCGGGGGGCACTCACCGTGCGCGGGGCGGCCGTGGCGAGCGGCGCGCCGGGACGGGCGAGCACGGCAGCAGCGCGCACCTTGCGGCGGAGCGGCGGCCGCTTTATAGCCGCGCCGGGGAGGAACGATGTCACCGGGCGGGAGGGGGGCTGCGCCAATCCGCGGCGGCGGCGGGGGGACGGCTGATGTCACCGGGGCCGCTCCGGCTCGATGGGGCGGGCGGGCGGGGGGGCGCCGGCCGGAGCGGCGCGGGGAGCCCGGCGGGGGGGAGGGACTTTTGTCAAATCCATAATAAAACGCAACAATGACAGCGCCGGGAACAGCTGTTGGGGGGGCGGGACGGGACGGGAACGGGGACGGGGACGGGCCCGAACAGCCCCCGGCACGTCGGTGTTCCCCGGTGCCCGGCCCGTCCGCCCCGCCGCCCGGGAGCGCTCGGCCGCGGCCCCGCCGCGCGCAGCGGGCGGCGCTTCCCCCGCCCGGTGCCCCCTCCTGCCCCGGGCCCGGGCGTTATTCCCCCGTCAAGTGGTGCAAAGAGAGGCGGAGAAAAGCGGGATTTCGGCCCCTCCGTTCCCCACGAGAGAATCGCCCCGAGCATCCCCCGGCTCCGGCCCCGCAGGGACCTGGAGAAGTTCTTGGAGCGGCCGCTTAAATCTGCCCCAAAAAAGCCTTCAGAGAGAAGGGAGCAGGCGAGGGGAGAGAAAGAAAGAAAAAGACGTTAACAAACGAACAAAAAAATGACCTTCGGAAATGCCTCCCGCCTTCTGCGCTGCTCGCCCGGCTCCCGGCGAGTCCCGGCAGCTCCGCGCAACAGGGTCGGAGCTGCCTGCACCGGGGTAAATCCCCCGGCCGCCCCCTCCCCGCCGGCCCCCCCGGCCCCTTTGCCTTTGTTGTATTATTTTTACACCCGTGTGTTTCCCAGCTGGCCCGGCAAGCCTCAACCATCCGTTAAATATGTATTTAAAACGTTAAGAAGTGAAGCGTGGCAATGTGTTTCCCAACGGTTGCGGGGATGATCCGTAACAGGTCAATTAGGAAAATCTGTCCCCGCGACAGCCGGGCCCGCCGCCCGGCGTGTGTCCCGCTGCCGCCGGCCCGGCCACCGGGGACGCGCCGGGGCAGGGGGACACCCCGAGGAAGGGGGGCTGAGCCCCGGAGGTGAGGGACGGAACGGGAACTCCCGTCTGTGCGAAGTTTGGCTTATTTTTTTGCGGGGCGCGGCAGCCGGAGCCGGGCGCTGCCTTCGCCTGGCGGCTCCGAGCGCCGCGGCGCCGGGGGAAACAGGCCAACAACGAGCGCAACGAGTTCGAGCCCGGCGCCTCTCCCGGCCCCGCAGGGCCCGGCCCGCGGAGGGGGAACGGGCCCCGGGAGGGGCGGCGGGCCGGGGGCATCGCCCCGGGCGCGGTGCCGGCGTGAGAACGAGGAAAACGCGGCGGCGCTCGGCTCCCGTCTGCCGGGGCTCGGCAGCTCTCCGGCCGAAAGGCTGGCGCCTCTCCTTCTCCAGAGACGCAGCCGGCAAACGCACGGGGTGCCGAGCTCCCCGCGGGGCCCGCGGCAGGCGCGGCGCAGCCCCGGGAGCCCCGGGA